GGTAAGTGCTTAGTAGTAAATCCTCCAAGAGGTGGATAAAATTTTTAATTCTCTTTCTTTTCCTAATGGAAGAGCTATTAAATAAGAAAATTTGATTTTTAAATAATTTTGCTGGTATCTCTGTGAACTAGTTGCTTCAGATTTTACTGATACAAGAAATGGATTGTTAAACAGGGTGGATGCCCGAACATAACATGCAGTTTTAGACTTCAATTCAAGGAAACTGTTGAACATTAAACTATATCTTTGACAAAACTGTAACCTTTTGCCAACAAGATAGAGTTCCTTATCCATGGGGGTTCAGATTTTCAAAATTCATGGAGAGGATGTTATGTCAATTTTAAGTACTTGTCATACCATCATGATTACATCTGGACCAAATACAGTATGCAGCATACAGCAACATTGAAATAATCTGCTGCTCAGGCCAGCCACTCATCTCATTGGCTAGAAGATCAAAAATACATCTTTAAGGGAAATCTTTGCTCTTTCACTCAAATTCTTAGGTTCTGATAAAAGTCGTATGATTTGCTTTGCTTTCTAAGATTCTCATCATGAATCATCATCATTTATAATAGTCACCATACTATGACTGTCAATTTAGCACTCACGAAGTGTTTGATTGTTTTTTCTGGTTCACGGCCACGAATCTTTCAGTTGGTGTTCTGTATCGTACATAAACACATATGCGGATTGACACATGGCAAGAAATGCACATACTTCTCAATGGCTTCTACTGAGTTTTGTCATCAGAAAAGTAGAAGTTGCAGTTAATAATGTTCTTAACATGGTCCAACATACTTTATAATGCAAGTTTAGTCAGTATTAGAGTTAATAGTTTACATTGGTGCTCATTCTGTTGACAATCAACAGTTATACTTGGTCGCTTTTTTCCCTGTGAATATTCTCATTTAAAGGTCCTTATTCTTCAGCCTGGAGCCTTGCTTTTTATCATGTGATAACTGTAGTCTTCAATCTGTCACTGTTGATCTTAATGGTTTCAGGGAAAAAAAAAAAAAAAAGCAGTCATCACTTTTGAGGTGGATATGCAGTAAAGTTTTTGAACAGAATTTGAACTGTGGGAACCATTTAACAGCACTGTCCCAGCAGGTCTGACATGTAGACGCCAGAAACTCCTACACAGAAAAATATTCATTCTTTCCGAGTTCACTTTTTCCTTATTGATATATATTTCCTTATGCTGATGTTGGATGCATATCAAGTTGGCTAAAATTGGAAATTTTATAGTATTCTTAAGGATAACTGTCTAAGCAATTATTAAAAAAATTATTGGAAATAAATATTCTGGAAGTGTACTGGACTAGTACTTACAGGCTTGCACAATTATTAGAAAATTAGAGGTCAAATATAAAATAGATTGCACCACAAGATCCTTGGCTCCATTTTTCCCACCTTACTAACTGTACTTTTATGAACAGAAGAAGAATTTTGAAGCAGAGCATTTTTACATGTTTCAAGTTGTCTGGTTTAACAATGACAAATCAGTTCGTTATTTTAACACAGCCACTGGCTGTGCACTGCTCTTTCAGGAAAACCTTCACTTGAA